GAAGACAGCAATCAAACCAATGCACAGCACAACAATTTTAGAGGTACAATAAAGACATATTGCAGAAGAACAATCCTAAAAAAAGTGGTATGGAATTTTAGGCATCTAAGAAAAAAATAAAACTTTAAATATTAGGGCCTTATATGAAACATCACTCCCATATACAGGTAAGTAGAATGAAAGGCTGATGGAACCTTTAAAGTTTTACTCTTACACAGATCAGCAACATGTAAGCACAATGTAATGCAGCCTGTACACGTTTTTTCAAAACAGTTTTATTATTTAGTAAAATATCAGTGTACCAGTCTAAAAGTGAATACTTCCAATGATCTAGAATCCACATTGCCTTATGTCCATCACAATAATTTTTATTGGGCTTGCATTGTAAACTATTTTACAGACACATTCAATTTAATTTATTTTAAAACTGAACAAGTCATCTATCTAAATGCAGTGGTATTAGGTACATGATTTCTACCTCCTCTACATGCGTCATATGCATCACTTTCAAACAGAAGTTTTTGATAATTTAATATGCCATGGTAACAGGTTGCATTTCAAGTTTAAGTTTCTTTTCAATGTGATAGTGTACAGAAAGTTTAGGTTTTTTTTTTTTAATCTTTGTATGTATTTACAATGGACAGACCTTGTAATGCTGTTACCAAGGCAGTATCGTGCTTATCGATTTAATTACTAAAAGTATCACTTAAGATTTCTAAATACAGGTTTAAAATCAATGCTTGGTCATGTTAAATTTTATTAGCTTATGTCAAAAACATTGCATAAAACTTAGAAAAAGGTCATATCTGTTTCAAGAACCAATACTCCATTAGGATACAAAAGCTAAACTACTGTCTATATTCCATGAAAGGCTTAAATGCACTGTGAAAAAAAACAGTAATTAATTTTAATTAAATTAAAATGGCAAAGATAAATTAATATTTCAACATAATCTACAAAATTGCTGGAATATGCCTGAGCAATTATCTTCAATTTTCAGTCTCGGCCAGATCAATCAGCCAACAGGTTACCCTTGATAGAGTGTTGCCACTGCAAAGGATGACTAATTTGAGAGTAACACAAACTGAGTGGTTTCAGAATGTTTCTGTCTCTTCAGGGCAATGCAAACTGGCACAGTTTACGAGCAATAAACATGGTTTAATCAAGTTTGCCAAGTGGAACATATTCTCATGACAATTTGATCCAGCATTTAACGTGATATAACATGTTCATAGGACCTAAATAAGGTTTCCACAAGACAACACAGGCCATAAAAAGGGGTTTATCATCATGTTTTAGAATATCATCAGGGAGAAATAAGGGTACCAGAACTTGCAGCTGTACACCTGCAACTATTTGCATACGCTGTCTTATAAAACATATCCCTTAAGAGTTGCGAGTTATTACTACTTTTTACTTTACTACATACTACCTATGTACTTATAATGGGCAAGAAAGTTTCTCTGTAACTTATACCACAGAAGAAAAAAAGACTTCTTTTCAATCTCCACCCCGCCCCCCCTTAAGTGTATAATACTAAGCACAATTTGCCTGTCTCCTATTCCCAACTCCCCCCGCCTTCCCTCTCACATAAAACAGATCCATCTGAATTTACTCATGCATGGGGCAACATCAAGAGGATTATCTGAGAGTTGGAGGATAATGGGACAAGTCAATGAGATGACAGTTTGCAAGAGGTTTTTTAATTATTATTTTTGAATGTCATCTCAAAAATGTATTGGCCTAGAAAGTCTATCTACTTGGTTTCTATCTACTTCTAAGGCCTTCTTCAATGTAATATCTAATTGAGGCCTTTTGACCATCTATGGGGAAAAATGGTGGTTTAGATGACTAAGAAGTGGAAACTGCAGAACTTATTTGATGAAGTTTAAATTCTCACCTGCAGGCTACAGACCTTACTGCCTACAGGTGCAGACATCGGCACCTGTAGGACTGTTCCTACAGACATTACAATTGCCACATGTTGCAATGTGTGTATTATGTTGTCTACAAGCTCAGATTTCAGAAGTAGAATTTTCTTCAGATGCCATAAAGGTTTTAGCATAGGAAGAGGTCTAGGTTTGCAGATGTTTTTAAGAAGCATAAAGGAAGGAGAAAATCCAGGTGAACAACAATGT